TCACCTGAAGAGACAATGGATGGTGTAAAATACACTAAAATAATTCTTTACGGAAAGCGGTACTGTGATGCGAATGAAGGAGAGGGAGAATTATAAATTAAGATTAAATAAAAACAATAGCAAAGTCGACACCGATGGCAGCAAAACAAGAGTGGAATGAAGGAGGAAGAAGTGCAGAAAACTGTGAGGCAAATCTTCAATCACCTCAATGTGGTTTCTCGATGATCGCAGTTGGTAGGGAGAGGAGAATGTCAATGTCGAATGACTTCTCGCCTCCTCCAACCTCAATGTCGAGTACGTCAAGAGGCAACAACGTGGTGGATGAAGTAAGGGGAGAAATCACAACCTACAGCTCCCTACTGCCTCCGCCTTCATCCAGGCGGACAATCAATTTTGCATTCCATTGAAAGATGAGCCTCCACTGCAGTGTAGCCAAGGAGACGACAATAAGCGAGGACTGAAGAATGGAAGCTTTTCTCCTGCCTTGACTGAAAATTTTGACATTGTAAATTTGTTGGTACAAAATTGTCACTACTTACACACTCTCCTCATCGCGATTGAATGTCACGGTTTCCACAATGATGGACAGCAAGGCGTACACTTTGGTTGAACTTTAATGATTGAACAACTTTTAGCACTTGTGTGATGGAGGAGGAGGAAGAGGAGGAAGGGAAAGGAAAAAAAGATGAGGAAGAGATAGAGGAGGGGTGGAAGGATATGGTGGTGAGAGCGGTGGAGGTGAATGAGGAGGAGGAGGAGGAGGAGGAGGAGGAGGAGGAGGAATGTCAACATTGGTTGTGCACAAACACAATATCACTGTTCATCCGCTGAAGATGAGGACGACTTCGATGAGATTTAGAGGTTATTTTTAGGAAGGAATAAGGCAATACTGTCTATGACTTTTAGTTTCAGTGAGAAAGGAAATTTTTTATCGCCTAATCCCTTCCTTCTCCTCTTCTCCTGTCCTCGCCTCCTCATCCTTCTTCTTCTCCGACGATTGTCCTCACTGCCATTGCATCCACATCACCATTTCTGTCACGGTAGTTTGTTACACCCTCCTCCATCCTCATTTTAACCCTCCTCACCCCTCCACTTCGTACACAAATTGTGCCACCCATTAGTGACCAACTTGGCTTACAGCATTCATCGACAGTTCCCCATCCACTTTGTCGTAATGTCATTTGTTCATGCCGTCTAAATACAGCCAAACTTCGTCTTTTCTCTGATATGACACCAACACTTCCACCACCATCTACACTATCATCATCGTTATCAAGGAAAGAGAAACAGAAAAGAAGAGACAAATTGTTTGCCAAATGTTTTTTTGCTAGCATCACTTCCTCCTCCCCACCACCATCACCGTCAAGGTGTCGTCACATTTACAAAATGCACCCTTTCTAACCGCACTCAATGGAAATGGTGGCAGCACCCACCAACGACCGCCTACTGGCAACTAATCGCCTTTACTACACCGTCCACTCACACCACCCACACAATCTGCCACAACTGACGTCATTCCACTCGGTTCACCCACACATCGGTGTGGCTGCATTGACGTTGCATCATCTGAGGAGCTGGAAGTGGAAATGCTGCTGCTGCTGCTGCTGCTCCTGGTGGTGGTGGTGGTGGTGGTGGTGGTGTGGTGGTAGTGGAGAGATGGAATGAGACACCTTCTTGAACGGACAAACGACCACCTCACCACACTTCCTCCACCCACAACGAACGTGCAAAGTGGACGTGGTGTAAGGCGTGGAGTCACGCGTGTGACGCAGATGTGCTGCTGTCTGGCAGAGGCACGGTGGTGACGACACACAATCGTCATTTGTGATGACACCAAGTTGTTGCAGCAGTAC